AAACATGAATGCCCAAATTAATTTTTACTAAAATAACAGCAGTAGCTAGTAAGTTGTTATATCCAAGATTATGATACAAGAGAGGACGAAGAAGCAAATTATGTTTCAAATTATAAAATCTGCAGGAATTCGGTTTGCGCTTCCAAAATCCGTGGCCTTTCTTTAAACAATTTAGACATAAACTTCTTTTTGATTCCTTGAAGCGTAATGTTGGCGATAAATTTGCAAGTGATGAGCAATTTATTATATAATGATCACTTCTATCACAAAACGTACCCATGCGAGCAATAGTTCCTGAAGCGATAATAAGATTTCGTCCATGAGCATTTCATTTATTTTTTACCTGATGATTGGGTGCTTTATGATTTATGGAAGTTTCCAAATTTTCCAGCACTCGACATCGTCTATCCAAAAATAGGATTCTATGAAATGAAATCGACTATGTTCGTTCACTTCATCATCACTAATTTCTTCAATATTTAAAAGGGAATCCTCAAAATGCTCATTTAAAATTTCGACGTAATCAAGGCTCACGAAAAGATTAATTTTAAAAGTGATTGAAAAATCAAATAAATTTATTCTGGATCACGACAAAATAAGATTTGTTAAAATATAAATTAATATTAAATGTTGATATTATTCAGTTTAGGTGTCATGTCGGGGACACCAATGTTCGACCTTATACGCTTTTTTAAAAGAAGATCCGAAAAACTTGCAATAAGTAAAACGACTAGCAGCGAATTCTGCTTCCAAAATTTGATTTTCTTTATTTGCTGTTCCTGTTGCTACTAACTTTTCAAAGGAATTCATAAATTGTAAAAAGTAAAATCAAAAGAACAAGTGCAATGAAAATGACTATTAAATGTTGTAAAACTACAAACTCATATGATCTTCGAATAAAACTTAAAAAATGCACACATCATGGTACAAATATTACTCTTGGTACGCCGCACATACATCAATTATATATTGATATCTGATCAGCGCTGATTGCAATGCATGCGGCATATACACACACTGTGCTACAAATTTGTTCTTCTGCGTGTTGCATTGATCTGGCTGTAGTGAAAACATATTTACGAAAATATATAAAAAGGTAGACGCACTGATCTCATAGTTTGCTCATAGTGTGTTGGTTTATTGCTGCTGTTTAACCAGTGGCGAAGCATACACGGTCATGATATATAATCCCCTTCAACATTTTCTGCATCGCGGTTGTGAAAAACGACTTCTGGTTAGAAGTGCTTCGAACAACCTTAACTTTATCTTTCAAATCTCCTAGGAAGCTAATACATTTTGTATAGCTCCGATGTGCAAACTTCTATTTAATTTGTCTTTCCATTCGAACCAAAGTCTCTCTCAGCTTTAATTGTTGCGTCACTATAAAATGAGTTATTAGAGTATACGTAGTTTTCCTCAAAGAATGTTATTTCATTCAACCAAAAAGCCTTCCATCACAATTATTGATTAATGAAGTGTCCAAGAAACAAAGTATGGTGATCTTAGTTTAGCATTCGTATCTTAAAAGTAGTTGTTGTCAACTTGATGAAGTTGCATTTAAGTTACAAAGTCTCTTCCCTTGCACCACTGATCTTCTAAAGGATTAATTCTTAATTAAAATTCTTTTTTTCTGGAGATATGACTGACTTTGTTATGTTCACATAAATATATTTTCATTCATTCGTTGTGGTTCCATTGGATTTTTATATAATTTGAAGCTAAAACTGTCTTAAAAGAAATTAGGTAGCTCGGTATTATGGGACACTTCACATTTTTTTTTTTTTTTTTTTTGAGAATATGTATACTCTTTCCACTCCAGCTCTGCTTTCGAGTGGTGATTGTACAATCCGCTGCTCTACCCGTTAATGCTTCCTCAGAATCATTTATTATTAATAGGTGCTGAAATTCCCTCTTCCATAACTATCTCACCCAACACCACTATATATTATATTATTTGCTGGCCACTACGCACCTTTCGTGATCTGTACACAACCCACTCTACTGCAGGTTTCAAAATATTAATTAAAGCTGAAACACTTTAACAGATGTAGGGTATCCTGTTGACTAGACGCATCAAAATTAGTTCGATATTCTACAAATAAACATCGAAATATGTTCTGGTCATTGTTACTGCTGGTCCCCGATCTGCAAAGAGATAATTCTTGTCAAATAGCATAGACCTTATACGGCTAAGAAGTCATTTACATCATAAATTGATGACAGTTCTTCTTCCACCATTAAAATGCCACAAGGAACATCTGCCAAAAGGCGTTTTTATGTTCTATTTTCTAATATTCTATTATTTTCAGCCAACTACTTATTGCCTTATTTGTCCTAAAGTTATTGATTCACCATCCTGGAAATAATTTTCGGTTTTTACAATATTCAAAAATAAAGACTGGAAGTCTAACCTAAAACTCTCCTTGGGCGAAAGTACAGCCCGCTATTCGGCTTTTTACGATTTTAGCTACTTTATCGAAGGTATTTGTTAAAAATTCGCTATCCATAATGGATTCTACTACCAGTAACAGGAAACTATCTAGTCTACGTTTCCCTGTATAACCAAACATTACGGTTTCTTTAACTATTCAGTATTTTAATGAATTCAGTTAAATTTTTTAACAGAAGTGTATTTAATTTAATATTTGATGTTCACAATTGATACCAACAACTGCAGCAGATAATAGTCTATAGAACTTGCAAAGAGAACTGTCAACATATTTCTATCGGAAAGCTCACTTTGGCAGCAGTTCCTGTTGACGGACGACTCCCAGCAACAATTTGCAGCAATTATTCCAAATTTTAGGCACACTTGTTTTAACATCGTTACTTGCATTCTTCAACCGGTTTAAAGTGGAATTCGTCAAGGGTTCAAGGAGTTAATACATAAGAGGATTCTAATGCAAAATAACAAGGGAATAAGTGTCAAGTTGGTACTTGGTTACTTTTGAACGTGAAAGGAAAGAAATAACGCACCTACAACACATTAACAATAACCATTATTCCTGCTTGAGTACAGAAAATGGAATAGCTAAAAAGCATTTCTTCTAGTCAAAAATACATCTATCTCTACATCATCTATTTTAGGTACCGTTTTATTGGTTGCCATAACGTGTGCATAGACCTTAATTGCTCTTTCTTTTTAACGGAAATCAGAAACCACACCATATTAAATACACAAAAGTTGATAATGTAAATAGGATTGTAAAAAACGACGAAGATGGTGTGATATTTGTTGAAGGAGTATCACCAGATTTAACTGAAGTAGAATCATCTCTTAGCCATGCTATCCCTGGCCGGAGGTCAGTTGAGGTAGTACAACTAGGTTTAATGTAATTCGAATCATCTACAAGTCATGCAAACTGCGGATCGGAATTTACCCCTTCTGAAGCAGATTCGAAAAACAATCACTTTATAACCGAAGGAGAATCTTATGATCTCGTGCGGGAATTAGGATTGTCGAAAAGACAGTCAGAAATTCTAGATTACAGACGCAGACAGTGGAACTATTTGTCAGAAAATGTAAACATTACATTTCGAAGGTGCGACGAAAATATTCCTTATATAATGTAATAATATTAATTTTTAAGGATATAGTGATCTTATATTCTTTCCACAAACAATACACATATGCAACAAAAGTTATTTTGTTTGGTTAACATTTTATGTGGGTAATTTAGTTATTTTTACGACTTTTATACCCTCCGCCATACATAGTATTGAGGGTATATTATATTCGTAATTCCGTTTGAAACTCATCGAAGTAATAATTTTAGACCCAACAAAGTATATATATTCTTGATCAGCGTAAAATTCTAAGACGATTTAGTCCTGTCCGTCGGTATGTCCGTCCGTCCGTCTGTTGTAATCAATTCGAAACGAATAAAGATAGGAAGCTAAAATTTTGCACAGATCTGTCTTTTGTCTCGAAGATGGACAATATCGGTCCACGATATCGTATAACTCCCATATAACGGTACCCCTCAATATTCGGAATTTTGATGATTTTAGCTACATATTTTAACGGAATTTTCTGAAATTCTACACAAGGAGTTCCTTGTGAGCACTTTACCCCCTGAAAGAGAATTGTCTATATAGGTCCACGATATCGTATAGCCCCCATATAACGGCGCCACCAGATATTCGGTATTTTGATGATTTTAACCATATTTCTCTATGGAATTGTCTGAAATTCCACACAAGAAGTTCATTGTGGGTACTTCACCCCAGACGTAGATTTGTCTGTGTAGGTCCACAATATTGTATATCACCCCACCTTACGATATTCGCTATTTTTAAGATTTTAACAGAATTTGTAATGGATCTCATTTTTTTTGAAAATTTCGTTCCACATGGTGGAGGGTATTCAAAGTTCTGCCCGGCCGAACTTACTGCTTTTTTACTTGTTATTCTTAAATTGTAGAAATTATACTAAGCCAGTTCTGCAAACGCAGTCCTTTTATACTGAATTTTTTAACCATTGTAGCCATTAACGTCTACCTATTTTACGCAAAAAGAGTAAACTACGATGGTAAATCAATAACTTAATTAATTTGCGTTCGATAATACCTATGTTCGTATGAATTGCTACAATTTGTTCTGCGACGATGTTTAACATCGTGGCCAAGGGTATATTCTGGCTGGCTATGTTCCTCTAACTACTGTTCAATTCATGATGAAATTAGGAAGGTAACATCATTTCAAATAAGCATATCTATCTCTTCATTTTCTGTAATTTACTTTGTTAAGTTTCACTGAACACCAAACAGGTTCCCAATCCTGGTTGGTGTGTATACAATAAATTACATACACTTTGACAATGAGATGTTGTCAAATGAATAATTTGACAGGGTTCGGAAAGTTATCAAGGCATCAATTTTATCGTCCAAGGTGTAAATTTTATACATTTACTCTATATTTATTTGTGCTGAACCTTTTGCTATGAAAACGCGAACTATATTAATAAGACAATAACAAATAAGAAATTCCATATTTTGTAGTCATTTTCAGGTGGCTGGACTCCGTGTCATGAAGCAGCATCAAATGGAGATGATGCTCATTTATACAAACTTTTAAAACATTTTAAACATGTCTTCCAAAAGAATAACCGCGATGGAAATACACCACTGCATGAAGCAGCAAAGAGAGGATACAGCAGATGTATTATTGTTTTATGTGAGACTGTGGATATGATAAATACAAAAACAAACATTAACTTAAGAAACAGTGACGGATTTTCTGCATTACATTTGGCAGCACAAAATGGACACAATCAATGCTGTAGAGAGCTTTTAATGCGAGGTTCAAGTCCGCATATTTCTAATAATGTAAGTATATCCGAGAATAAATTTATGATCTAAATATATATATATATATACATATATATACATATATATATATATATATATATATATATATATATATATATATATATATATATATATATATATATATATATATATATATATATATATTTCTAAAAATTGGTATTTGTTGTTCATAACGGGTACTAGCACAGTAACAGAACATTATTTATTTAGTTCCACGTTTCCTATGGCGCACATATAACGATACCCCCCGATATTCGGTATTTTGATAATCATGGTCACATTTACTCACATAATTGTTTCAATATTAGTATTTTAGAAGATTTGATAGAGGACAATCCTAGAAGTATAAAATTTTCTATAGGGGTTCCCGTTTTGGTATAGCCCCATATAACGACCTTATAAATGTAACTAAAATAACGAAACGGTCTTACTGGTATACAAGATATGAAGTGAAACACTCTTGAATTCAGATACTTTAATATAAAAATGATTCCCATACCCTTAGGTGGAGGGTATTAAAAGTTAAAGCCGAAATATATATATATATATATATATATATATATATATATATATATATATATATATATATATTTATATATATATATATATATATATATATATATATATATATATATATATATATATATATATATATATATATATATATATATATATATATATATATATATATATATATATATATAGGAGCTATACAAAAAACTTAGGCAAATGTATTTGTGTACCAAATTTAGCCACTCATGCTGAATTTGATTACAATCGGACATACGTATAGTTTTTTGTGCATAAAATATGTGAGATCGGCCAAAAATATGTATATATGTGGTATATCCAAATCTGAACTTATTTTAATATAATTTGACTCATTTATTTTCTGATCAAAATCCAGTCACGCATTCCAAATATCATTGGAGTCGAACATACATATCGTTTTTGGTGCATTAAATATATAAAATCAGCCGAAAATATATATGGGAGCTATATCCAAATCTAAACCGATTTCAATATTATTTGACAAATTTATTTTCTGATGAAAATCCCGTCACACATTCAAAATTTCATTGGATTCAAACATACATATCGTGTTTGGTGCATCACATAAACGAAATCGGTCGAAAATATGTATGGGAGCTATACCCAAATCTGAACCGATTTCAATATAATTTGGTAAATTTATTTTTGCTTCAATTTCTGTTACGCATTTCAAATTTGGAAACTGTAAATATAATCGATCAATAGATATGTGCATATAAAATCTATTTTTTTGGAGTTATCTCCGATTCCGATGCTATATCTCTAGTTCCAAGTGGAATTTTAAAAATTTTTATATCCTATGTTTCAGGCGATGTTGTAGTATGCTTGGAAATTTTCAGCAAAATCTTTTCAGCGGTTTTTGGGTCCATAAAGTACAAACAAACATACAAACATTTTCCTCTTTTATAGATATAGATATATATAGTGGATAATAGGGGTGAATCAATTAATTTCAGGATAGAAAAGTTTATTTCGGAATAGAAATAAGGATATTGTTTCAGAATAGAAACTAGGAGGCATAACGTCCATAAATCGACCAGCCAAATATAGCAGGAGTCTTCAGACCGATCCGACTGTCTACCCTCAACATGACGCTCAGGGTCAAACCGGGATTTCAGCGTCCCTGGGCATAGAGTTTCTATGTCAATGATTAATGTCGTCAGTTTCAACGAATCGGTCAACTTTTTTGAAATTCGGCTCACAGATGCCCCGGAATCCAAAAGACACCGCGCTGTTGATTTGACAGTGCCGGACAGTGCAGTGTAAGTCGTACGCATGAGCCGAATATGTCACACCATTATGAACAATTTTTACGATTACCGTACCTAGCAATACCCTCTGAACACTAGTAGAAAAATAATTTTGCACAGCTAGCGGACTGTAATTCAGAATCTGAAAATGAAGCGGTGTTGGGATTGAGGTTCGAATTTGGAGCAGTGCTAGATTTAGATGGTGCTGAAGAGGAAGAAGACTGACCAGAGTTTCTATGCAGAAGAGTGTTATGACGCTTATTGCATGTATAGCAGCTATGTTTGCTAGGACAAGTTTTAACGGAATTTGTTTTCGAAAAGCAGTTGACACACAGACCTTGCCGTTTGATCTCAGAAATGCGCGCATCATTATTAATCTTTAAGAACTTCGGACATTTGCGAATTATGTGAGTCTCGTTTGGACATAAGGGACATTTGGGATCAGAGAACTTACTCTGGAACGAACTAAACATTTTGGAATTTTTGGACTTTTTATCGGACGAACTTTCCCTTTGCCTTAAACATGGAAGACCTTTTCGCATCTCTGAAACAGACTCTAGAGTGCGATATCTATATGTAAGGAATGTGTCCAATTCCGCCCACCGTAGAATACTGGCCTTGTCCGAGAGGGTATGCTCTCAAAGAATAATGGGATCCCAGCTAGCCACGTCAATATCGTAGGTTTTAAGAACAGAAATGCATGCAATAATGTCTCTCTGGAGGCGTTTGAAACTTTGAGCGGATTCAGAATGAACGGAAGGGAGGTTGAATAAAACTTTAAGCTGCCCGTTTACGAGAATCCGCTTATTTTCGTAGCGATCGCACAGGTTGGACCACGCTTGACTGAAACCACTATTAGTAAGGGGAACTAAATAAAATAATTTATTTTATTAGAAATTATTTGGAGGCATGGTGCAATATATTGCGCAGCATATCTTATTGTACATTCATTAAAATCTGCTTACTTGCTTTTTGCATCATTGATATGTCAATGTCAGTTTTCAAGGAATTCGCGCTAAAGCTTCCACCTTCCTTCAGTCTGTTTTCCTTGATTCCGGTAAATTGTTCGTAATCGTCTCCCGTTTTTCTACAGTAGCACTGTTACAGGTGTATGCATTGGAACCAATGTAGTTGTTGTGGGCAAAAAACCATTACTACAAGTCCCTCACATAGCCATACTCTTTTCGAATTCCTAATATCAAATAAGTGACCTATCCGGCGTTTTCGTGAGCAAGGAGTAATCTAAGCCATTACACTTTACTTCATAGATGTGTTTCAAAAGTTAACAGATGTCAAGTTCGGCTTCACCTAGTCAATTTCCTGATATAAATATTTCCCTCTTCAACATCGGCTGGAAATGTAGTTCGACATTTCTTTCACGCTGCGCAAAATAAGTCGGTTTCTGTTAGGTACAAGTAATCGACAGCAGATCGATTATGTAATGTCTTACTAACAGATTCTCATTTTTTATGTCGAGTTCAGTTGATATTTTGATAAGAGCAGAAATTTTGCTTGTGGTCATACGGCATTGGTATTACGTGAACAGATAATGCTTGAATCACCTTTTGTGTGGTATGGTTAATACATGGCGGATAATTTGCAAATACGTGCTAAACTTTGGTATTTTGGAAAGGAGTAGATCTGGAAATCTTGAAAAAGTATTTATAGATATATGTCAGTAGAAAAAGTATTTATTATTATAGTAAAAAAAATATATATATACATATACACCTGAAATTTAATTAGTGCTTTTTTAAGAATAACATTTTAATATGAATTAATGTAATTATTTACGCAAACAATATTCAAAAGCAAAAAATAAAAATATTCGGATGAATGTAGCCGGTTACTTCTCGGTTCCAAGAATGCCAAAATCGACTTGGCGACCCCTATATTTAGCTGAGTACTAAAAGTCGACTTTCGAATTGTTAAACCCTATGAATGATATGGAATAGGGAGTACGAAAGAAACAAGAACCAGCACTTACTACATATCACCACACACAACGGGAATGAAAACAATGAGAACACGAAAAACAATATATCGTTGTTGTCACTTATTCTTCAAGAAAAATTATCACAAATACAAATGAATCGCGCTTTCGAATTGAAAGAAATATGAGAGTGAATGCAAAAAGAGACGCAATAGAATGCTCTTAAATCGAAACAAATTACAGAGAAGTTATCTTTGAATGAAATCAATTAAATGCCAAGACGCAGATCTCTTAAATATTGAAGTGACGCGGACACTCTTCCACCAAGACGCGTATTGAAAAATATGATGTTTTGCCCACGGCTTATGCACTTTATAGTTTTTAGAAAAAATTTGCACTTTTAGTGAGAGGAACGAAAGCACAAACTTACCTTAAATTTGACGAAACAAGATGAAAATTTTATTGATTAAATAAACCCAAAACCGGAACTGGAATTTCGGCATAAGCTTATATCCAGGGATTCGTCGGTAGTTTTCCTGTAGAAGTTAGACGTGATAATCAAGTTAGAACTGATAAACAAGAAATAAAACAAAAGCAGAATTAGTTTGTGTTGAAAATAATTGGAATATATTCTTCTTTATTGGAAATTCTGTACAAAGGAAGAATACTTACCGCTTGAAACAATGGTTTAATTGTAAGTAAGTAATAGGAGAAAAAGAAAATTCCGTGAAAGTAGAGACGGCATGTTTTGAACAAGAAAGCAGAACGAATACATATATGAATAAGTTATCGGCAATGTCAAGGTGTAGGTGAGGAAAATCGTTGAAAAAGAACCAGGAAAACCTGAGTTGCCAGAAGCAAGAATATTTTAACTTTACCTACAATTTTGACATTAACAAGGGGAAAACACTTAAAGATTTTTTTGTTTTATATATTGTCTCCATTTATTAGAAATTATTTGGAGGCATGGTGCAATATATTGCGCAGCATATCTTATTGTACATTCATTAAAATCTGCTTACTTGCTTTTTGCATCATTGATATGTCAATGTCAGTTTTCAAGGAATTCGCGCTAAAGCTTCCACCTTCCTTCAGTCTGTTTTCCTTGATTCCGGTAAATTGTTCGTAATCGTCTCCCGTTTTTCTATAGTAGCACTGTTACAGGTGTATGCATTGGAACCAATGTAGTTGTTGTGGGCAAAAAACCATTACTACAAGTCCCGCACATAGCCATCCTCTTTTCGAATTCCTAATATCAAATA